AACAAATAGATATTGCTCTTCACTTACTGTTCACTGTTTCATGTTTTAGAGGGGAACAAAGTTGAAAATAGGCACTTTCATTAGTATTTTGAGTCATGGTAGATCTGAAAGACTATTTCATCTTCTCATGCTTTATCTTGACAGTTAATATTATGTGAGACCAAGTCTACACACTATACACATCTTTATCTAAAATTGGCTTCAAAAATGAAATACTGCTGCCATTCTGGATATGGATAACCTTTTATCAGTTTCAGCCAAGTTTACTTGGGCTTTGCCTGTATTTTTAAGCTTAGTAACATATATATGTGATGTTTACAATGACAATTATCCACAGAAGAACTTGTATCAGTTTTAGGCATACACTTTAGTATAACTTAGTGCACAGACCAGTAGCTCAGTGATGCCCTCACTTAGAGGCTTTTCAGTGGTTGTTAAGAAACTGGCATCTTCATAATGGGACCTGCACCTCTGAAGTGCACCTAGTTGTTAGGAGAGCCTGACATTTTCCATCTGTGTCCCATGTTCCTGTGCAAATTTTGTTTCATGATCTCTTTGAGTCCTTTTGCAATCACTTCTTGATTACTTATACTGGAATTTATGTGATGTTTATGGTGCATCTTGAGGTAGTGGTAGTTATATTTTATCACCTGGAAAACAAAATTGACACAGGCCTTTAAATATCAAGGAAAGCAGAGTAAAGGCTGTCAGCCTTCATTATATTTATTCACTGTGCTTCACCCTACCTCTTGTACAATTCTTTCATCTGCTGTCCCAGAGAGATGAATTAAGAATACGAGGTTTGTTGTAACTTTGTCAGGTGAAGCTATGTCCTCACCGAGGCCAAGGACAGAAATTTCACTAGTTTCATTTTCATGTTGCTTTTTGCTGCTGTTTTTGCAACTTTAATACTGTCAAAATAGCAGTAGTGCTCTTCTATGGGTACTTTTAGGCAAAGACTGGCTGAAACTTGACCAATGTGTAGGAGCAACAGGGCACAGAACAGGGGAGGGAAGTGGGTTAACATCATTGTCTGTGTTTAGAATGCAATTTTAGGTATGGGAGAAAAAATAAACTCAGTTATTGTACAATAACATTGCATTCATAATACTGCTAGAAATAAATATTTGCCAGAATGGGGTCAGCTCATAAATTTCTTGTACATTTCAAGAAGCTGCATATTTAGAATATATGGACCTGTAATTCCAAAGTTTCTGCATAGTTTATCTCCTCCTACTGTCTTGGCTTTAAATCAAGGAAAGAATATTTTATAGAGGATTTATTTGTAGCTAATGTTAGTTGTATAGCTATTGCAGCTTTAGGCTGTGTTATGTTCCCCTAAATCATGTAGACAGTGCATCGGTTATTTAAATATGAATATCTGACAAACATATTATGGACTTAAGAGTGATCAGAGCACAGTACCTAGAATGTGCTAAAATTAAGTGCTTTGAATCTCTACCCCTATCGCAAAGGATTCCTGAATTTAATTTCTGACTGAAAATGCAGCTTTAAAACCCTAAAACTTTGTTTTTATTCTACTCAGCAGGTCTTCAATAGATGTTAGAGGAGCTCAGTTAGTCAGAACTGTCAGAAAGGTTTTATTAATGTGTGCATAGTATTAAAAAGAACTATGTTTGAATGCGTGCATAAGTTTTTTGTCTTTGTTTTTCTTTAAATAATCTCTTAAGTCTAGTAGTTATTATAAGGAAGAGCAATAATGGAAATGCAGAACGAATCCTGAAAAACACAATTCAGTCCATAGAAGGATGATAGCTACAGAGCAGACGTTTGGATGTAAACAGAGTAAAAGGAGCATTTCTTGGGTCCCTAGGTATATTTCACACATTTTCTGGGAGTGGGTGAAGAAAACCTATTTGCCTTTGAATTTCTGCAGGGCAATACTGGTACCGGAGATGTACCCAACAGGGAATTCAGATGCCTAAGCAGTGAGTTTCTTTGGAGTTTAAGCCAGAAGAAAGCCATTTCTATACCCATCTTGCTCCAATCATGATTTTTCACAACTCGAAACTAAGTGGCACAATTTTGTATTCCTGAGACTACACTGTACTGCTGCCGCTCAGCCTTTATCATTACCAATGAAATTAATAAGTAGCAAGCCTCTCTAATGTCACTGTGGTGTTTCAGGTACCCATGGACAGCAAAGAGGCTGGTAGGAATTGAACTCACTTTCCTAGCTAGCAGCAGAATCATGCTGCAGCCAGCACAGGCAGGAGAAGTTTTTTCATTAGCAATTTACATTCATCCACCTCTCTTTCATCCCACTTCCTTTTCTAACTGTACCTGGTTAATAATCTTTATCTCTCTGAGATTAGAGTAATGAATAAACTTTCCAGTGATACTCAAATACAGCCCTTCAGTGAAATGGATCAATTTAAACAATACACAAGAAGTTAATCCCTTTTCATAGCTGCATGTTCTTTCATTTATACCAGCCCCACAGGTACAAAGCTTCCATGTCTGGCCATGTAACCCCAGGCTCCCTGTGCTGGCTCAGGTGGACATTTCTGTCCTGGCTCCTCACCAGGTCTTTGCTTTTCTTTCTAGACATGCCTGGAGCACATTGCCAGTTGCAGCCTATTTCCATTGACTTCAGGGCACTTGACCCCGTACGTGCTTGCTAACAAGCACACTTGTTCTCTTGGATGAACGTGCATGCACAGTGGGGTTTGTTTTTCTTCTTTTTTTTTCCTTTCAAGTGTGGTGTTGAAGCCAATGTGGATGCTTAGCCTTCTAAGCAATACTTACTGGAATTAAACAGGGCTATCGAGAGTGAGGATATTGTTAAATACTGGGAAAAGACTTCCAAAAGCAGCTCCAGGCCGGGTGCCTTGGTTTCCCCCAGCTACGATCCGTAGTGGTGTGCGGAGCTGCTCACCAGGAGGATAATGGAGTTGGCAACTGTCCTCTGGGGCAGGACCTTGGTGGCTCTTAATGACAGTAATCAGGAAAGTGGTCTCACTTATTCAAGTTGTATTAACTCAGTTGGGTGACAGTGTTTAGTACAGAGAATTGGGTTGTTTATGGGGTTTTCTTCCTCCCTGCTTTCACATAGATTTGATTTCTGCACACAAGTGTAGAAATACTAAATATAGACACCAATAGAGTATTTATACAGGCACTTAGCCATCAAGCTCTGAGCTGGTGACATGGAAAGATTTGATTTGTGTGTACAGAAGAGAAATGTGTGTGTGCAGATGCATGTTGGAATTGCCTTCAGTGGATTTGGAAATTTCATACCTAATTTCAGACCAGTACTAATAAATATGTTGATTCAAATGAGGAAAGGAAGCTTTTTCTCTTTCAGAAAGACTTAGTTAAAATTCAGGAAGTCAAACTGCCGAGGAGTTAGTACTAGGATTTATAAAACAACATTGAAAGGGAAGCTTAATTAACATTTCACTACCCTTTCAATTGCACTGAATATGTGTCTGGTTTATCACCCACCTAAATATGTTAGTTTGTATTTGAAGAATGTTTGTGACAGTGAGCCTTCAGGAGAAAGCTCAGCTTTTTCCTATAATCTCATTATAGCATTTGTGTATTCTATTTGCGTGCTTTGACCTTGGATAATACAGAGAGAATATTCAATGTATATATCATATATTTCTGAGCATCAATACTTGAGGTTGTTTTCTTTTAACTGTTAATGTAGCTTTAGCTGGAATTCAAATTTTTTTGTGTTTTTTTTTTTCTTTTGGTCAAAACAATGTACACCCTATATTAGTAAGTTGGGTATTGATGGATGAGCACACACAGGATGGCAGTGCACACGAAAGCAGGTCATCCCAGGTAAGGATGCTGCTCTGCATTCCTCAGGATAGAGTGAAGAAGTAGCAGCTGCTTTTCTTTCTCTCCCTGAAGAACATAGTGATAATAGAAATGGGATATTAAAAAGGGCAGCATAGATTAATGGGGCAATAATAAAACAAGTGAGACCCATTAGCAAAATCACTGCTTGAAAAGTAGATTCTGTGATAAGTGCCCTTCAGTGCCTTGTGGAGGGAAAATTGTTTCAGCACTTGTAATGTCATCCATGGTGTTGGATTTTAGACTGTTGTGACAATCTAAGTGATAGAATCTTAAAATAATTTAGATGAAGGTAATCTTCATTTGTACATACTGCTTGGTAGAAAACTTGAATGATTAAATCTAAATGTTGAAGACAAGTTCTTTTTTTTCGAACGCATACAGAGTATTTTTGCACGTTCCCAGAATCTTTCATCAAAAAACAAAGCAGTTTTGTGTTGTTCTGTTAAGCCTGTAAGGTGATCATGAGAACTTGAAAAGCCTTATTTTATTGCTGGAGCACCGGTGCTATGGGGACTGATGTTCAAACAGACTTTGAACTGGCATCGGTGGCTGTAGCAGCATGTCGTGGTTTTTATTTGTTGATTTTAGATTAATGATGAAAGGTGTGCATTGCACTTAAAACGTTATGTGTCTCTGTTTGCTCTCTGCATTTTAGACCAGACAGTTTTCTGAAGCAGTTAATGAATAGGGAAAATACAGTTAATTTCTGAGATTTATAGGGTACGTTGTCTGTAAGGAGAAAAATGTTTGGGTTTTAGAGATAAAATGGGTTCACAAACCAACTTATCAAAGCTGAATATATTAGTTTGAAAGTGCTCTTCCACAGATTGTCAGGATATAAATGGGTCTAAGTCTCCGAATTGTCACGTTTTTCTTCCCTTTCTCCCTCTAGAAATGCATGGCTGTATTGTGGTAGGGTCTAATTTTTGATTTTTTTTTTATTTTACAATGTAATTTTGTTAAATCAGAGTGTAAACATTGAGCAATACATGTCTTGTAAGATGCTCAGGGGAGCAGGGCATGGGCACCCTTAGCACTGTGCCTCCGCTGTGCGCCAGCAGCTCATCCCATCCAGCGGTGGAAGAGGAGGGCCAGGAGGCGGCTGTTGCTATCGCTCTGATGTCAGGCACTCTCACTAACGTGTGGTTGGTTATTCTGCATTTCAGATCGCTGCCGGTAGCAGAGCGCAAAGGGAACGGCGAGACTCCCACATCTTTCAGCGAGAAGAAAGGAGTCAGCGGAGCAGACTAATACGGACTTGTATCGGGTGCCCTTGCCCTACAAAGGCTGCCTTTAAAAGAGAAACGCAGTGTTATTTAATGAGCTGTGAGATGAGGCACTGCTGCTAACGCTCAGATCCCAGGATTCATCGGCTATTCATTGTGCTTAATGTACATGTTTCTGCACCGTGCATTTAGGAGATCCCAGAGAAGAATCCAAAACGGCTGCGGGGGAAAGACCACCAAACATGCCTACAGAAACATTACCGACAGGTAGCATGGTGAAGCCGGTCAGCCCTGCCGTGACTTTTACATCCGCCGTTCCTCTCCGCATCCTGAACAAAGGACCCGACTATTTTCGCAGGCAGGCGGAGCCTAATCCAAAAAGACTGAGCGCAGTGGAGAGGCTAGAAGCCGACAAGGCAAAATATGTCAAGAGCCAGGAGGTCATCAATGCCAAGCAGGAGCCTGTGAAGCCGGCGGTGCTGGCGAAGCCACCAGTCTGTCCTGCGGCCAAGAGAGCACTGGGAAGCCCCACCTTGAAAGTCTTCAGCAACAATGCAAAGACTGAGAGTGGCGTCCAGAGGGAAAATCTGAAACTTGAGATTTTGAAGAACATCATCAACAGCTCTGAAGGCTCCAGCTCAGGTTCAGGGCATAAGCACGGTCCCCGAAATTGGCCACCCCACAGAGCTGATTCAACAGAGCTGAACCGACACTCGTTCGCCGAATCTTTGAAGGTTTACCCCACGCAGGGCCGTAGCAGCCCACAGGAGAGCAGCTCCAACGTCAGCAGAAGGCTCCTAGATCAATCAGCAGAGACTTTCTTGCATGTCTCTCACAGCTCTTCGGATATTAGGAAAGTAACTAGCGCAAAGCCCTTAAAAGCAATACCCTGCAGTAGTTCAGCCCCACCTCTGCCTCCAAAGCCCAAAATCGCTGCCATTGCCACCCTGAAATCCCCAGAGATTGAGGCAGTCGAATCTGGATGCGGAGTTAGTAGAAGACCCTCCCTACAGCGCTCAAAATCAGACTTAAGTGACCGATACTTTCGCGTCGACGCAGATGTTGAACGATTCTTTAACTACTGCGGACTGGATCCTGAAGAGCTTGAAAACCTCGGGATGGAAAACTTTGCAAGGGCTAACTCTGATATTATATCCCTCAACTTTCGCAGTGCAAGCATGATTAGCTCAGACTGTGAACAGTCTCAGGACAGCAACAGTGACCTTAGAAATGATGACAGTGCCAATGACCGTGTGCCATACGGCATTTCAGCCATTGAAAGGAATGCCAGAATCATCAAGTGGTTATATAGCATCAAGCAAGCTAGAGAGTCACAGAAAGTGTCCCATGTGTGAGAGAGAAATTCACCATAGAAAAAGCAAGGACTGTATCTTTGTCTGTGAATATTCAGTTTGTGAAGGGTTGTGAAGTCTACTTGAAGTCTTGTACCCTTCTCAAATCTCTTTGTGTTGCTTGTTGTGCAATGTTTCCAAGTTGCATGCCTGTCAACATGTGAGCTGACCTGGCTTCCACTTGAACAATAACTAACTACAAAGCCTGGCTGAGCATACACATTATCTGCCAAAAGTTTAAGACAAGAATCTGATTAGGGCTTCAGTATAATCAAAGTGTTTACATGGAAAGGTTATATGACTTCTTTGGTATTTATGTGGTTCCTTGTGGATTTTATATATGTCACTTTCTGTCTTAATACGGATATTGTCAACTGATGTTACTAGTTTCTAAGTTGAAACAGAATCCCTTTGAGGGGGGAAGAAAAGCAAAATTGGCCAAAAAAAAGAGGTTTAGGCATATGACGATAGGCAAAGCAGCCTTATCTCTTGTAGAAAGAGCGTTATTGGCACATGAAAGCTGTTTCTAAAAGGCAAAGAATGCTATGTTCTTAAATTATGTATCATTGTTAAACTGTATATCCCTACTTGTAGTAAAACACTGTTCTGTAAAGGCTTCTTTTTTCTAGGTAAGCTCCCTCCGTTTTACAGCAGAAATAGTCTAGTGAATCTTCTTGACCTCTCATAAACTAAATGAGTCTTGCATTTGGGTTGGTGGAAGCATTTTTAATGATTTTGTATTATCCCTGTTGGAAAAGCTTAAAGAAGGTCGGAGTGAACAGACGGCGCAGGTGTGGGATTTTGTGGGTTTAATTTTTACTCAAAGATTCCTGGTCTTAAACTTTTGACAGGAATAATTAGATCCTATAGCTGATATTGAATGCCTTTATTAGTCAAAGCACATCATGACTACAAACTCCATGCTGTCTTTTAATTTTTTTTGTAGACCTATTTGAACAGTTAATGAACAAAAATGGAAACACACAGCCATATCAATATAACGCCTCCTATTCAGAAGTAAATACACTCAGTAGCCGAACTATATCTGAAAAAATGTGATTATGTTGTCTTGCATATGTTATATCTAAGGCTGTGAGGGTTTGTTACAGCTCTAGGAAAGTGTAGAAACATGACAGTATGTAGCTTTTTTTCTTTTTTTTTTTTACCTCTTTAACATGGTTAGTGCTGCAGATCAACCTGTTACAAATCTTTTGACAATCTGTGTCTTCCCAGTGGTTTAATGAACTGTCATTTCAACTGACAGTGGTGGTGTGGTAGTCAAGAAGTTGAAAGTACAGTGGTCTGCTTCATTATTATTGTATACATGCTTTGAAGTAAATTGCAGCACTACCTTATACTACATCAGCTAATAGGAAACTTTTTTATTGTGTAAATGCTGTAAGACTTTGTATATACTTTAGTTGTTACGAAATCTTTAAAAGGAAGAGTGTTATGCTAATAAATAGCTCCTGGTGCAGGTATGGTAGGTTTTTTGTTCTTTTTTTGACCCCTTCCATTCTTGAAACTATATCAGGAACTCAATTGCAGTGTCTTTTAGTGCTGTAGAAGATCTTGGTTAAATAATAGTTCCAGTAAAAGGTTTCTTTTACTAAAGTGCTTTTCAGAATATAACTTTTTATAAAATAACTATAGCAGCATGATCTGTCTGAAGAACTAGAAGAGTTTTTCAAGACTCCTAAAATAGCTTGCTTCTTCCTTACCTAGCAATGTTACTGTTCCCGTTTATAGCATCTGTTCATAATGAATCACTGCAGTCTTCTGAATTATTCTTCAGTAGTGCTTATTTATATATTTGAATATTAAAGATATTTTACAAAGTCGGGTTCTATCTTTTCTCTAAGAAGCCTGTAGCCCAACTTCTTACAGCTACAGTTAATGCAGGCGAGACTGGAAGTGGAGCCATGTAGTCATTTGTTGCCTATGGAATTATCCCGCATCCAGTTTTAAATAAGTGTTCTCCAAAGGATTGTTCATGAAGGGGGGAAGCACACATTCAGTTTCAGCACGCATTCAGTTTCAGGAGGCTACTCTATGATTTTTACAGTTGACTTCACAACCTAAGACTTACAACACTCCTAGCTTGGACAAAAAAAATGAGGAGCTCTGTATTTCAGCTACAGGCACATTTGTGACATTTCAAGCTCCATGGGTTTCAGTTGGCATTGACATCACACTGGTTTTTCAAGCATATTTTTCCAATAGTAAGTTCTACTCAGTTCAGTGACTATTTTGCCAAGGAAAATAATGCTTAAGGGATTAAAGCCAAGTGTAATGCAGCTGTACAGCAATGAAATAAAGAAGTTAAAACCAAAATAAAAAATGCACTCACATTGTTCTCTCTCAAGTGTTTTAAGAATGATGATAAACATGCTATCTCAAGTGTTATCAGCCAAAAACAGTAATAACGAAGCCTTTATAACTAGAAAATGGATTAGAGCATATCCTAATATTATGAAGTGGTTTCCCAAGGTTTGTTGGGAAGCCATAGGCTCTTGAGAAATCAAATTCATTTCCTTTTAATCCACAAAGGGTTTAGGCTTGTGAGCTGTCTGTAAGAGAGCATTTCCTCCCCTGAGATCTTAGGCAGCACTTTGAAACAGCACTGGCTCTACCTCTGCTACCACTGCTTTTTACGATGTTCACATGAATAAGACTTTAGAGAACCTACAGACTTTACAGGACCTTCACAGTCAGCTGAAGTTGCAACTCCGGTGAGAGTGCAATAATAGAAATCATAGGATTGCAAAATGTTCACAAGGCTTTGAACAAGCAGGTAAAAATTGCCTTCGTTTGTCACTTTTTATCCAGACAGGATTTATTTATTTATTTATGTTCTCGCTATTGCCTGTACATTTGTGTAAAACCCAAATCATTGGTGTCTGATCTGTTTTTATATTCAAATGGGAATAACCGTTTTGCCTTTGCAGACAGGTAATCCTGTCATGTTGAGAGAGTCCATTATTTGTCTTTGCCTTAGGAGATTCCCAAGTGCTAATAATGTATTCATGGAGAGTTGTAACCAACTCAAGTGCTTCATCAGGGATCTGTTCTGATCATGTTCCTGCCGTGTCCAGCAGGCATTTACCCAGGTACAAAGTGCACAGCAGGTCTTCACAGCTACACAACAGCTCTTGTTGCAGCTCTGGAGGGAGATTCAAGTCTGTGGTGTCCTGTGAAAGCCAGTACTGAGCCTGGTGCTGGCAGTCCTGGCCACAGCAGTGAGGAAAAATGCAGTATGTCTTCAGTGATTAGTATGAATTCCCACTCACACACACACAAAAGAAACCACCACAGAAGTTTATGGTGATTCTGTTACTTTGACTTGCCAGGGAGGGGAAGGGAGAGTAAAATGATGTGGCCAAGTACACTTTGAAAGCTGCATACAGCTTTGCACAGAGATAAACCATTTGTCTGAGTGAAAGAGATGGGCATCAAAGTAAAACTGGTCTTTTAATCACTTCATATTGTATAGTAACAATGTCATGAAAGATGAGAGATAGAGGATCTGTGCCACAAATTTACTTTCAACAAATTCAAGTACTGAAATTGTCTCTTTTTTCTGAATACTTTTTCTGCGAGGGAGTGCGTTGTGCTGCGAGCGTATGCACCATCTGAGTGACCGAGGGCTTTTGAAGGGTAAACACAAAATGATGATGCTTTTGGCTGTAATTCAAAAATCAAAAGGCACACTCAGACAACAGAGCCAATCAGTATTGCTGACTTACCTCTTTTTGCAGCAGCCTATCCATCCGTGGAGGCCATACGCACTTGATTCCAGTCATTCAATGTAAAACAAAGTGCTTAATGGAGCTCTGCAGTACAGAGCTGAATAATTCCAGTCTGTGGGAGAATGGGAAGGGAACTAAACCTTAAAAAGTCTTTCTGATATCTTTTGATTATGGGATGATAATGTTTAGTATGTTGTATTCAGAGCTCACTTGTTCATAACAAACTTTATTAAGCAGAGTAGTCTAACAAGTCTGGGAGGTTCCATTTTTCCAAGGCTATAAAACTCATGTTCTGTGTGATTAATGGTGTCACACTAGTAGCTGAGCACATTAGGCTTAGAATATAAGAGCTTTGTTCCTATGAACAGTAAGGGTCCATTGCCTGTTTTGGCAATGAATATAAATGCAGATATAAATGTGCTATACAGAAGAATAAATTGGTCAAGGTGTTTTGTCCTGAATTATAATATAACTCTATACCAAAATCCTTGTTAGCAAGGCTTAAACAGTCACTGATATTCTGAATTCATCTGACATTCCTTGCTGTCAGCAGAAAGACACCAATAATCTGCCCTTTGAAATATGTCACCCATAGCTTAATGGGAAAGGCCATTAAAATTGTCTGTTCAGTGTAAGGACTTTTATCTCCTGATGCTGGCATCTGTTAAGTGAACCTCTAAATAAGCACATTTCAGTCAGAAGTAGTAACCCCTAAATGCCTTTTATTTTTCTCCCTGGAAGCCCAAATGGTGATCAATAGCTATATCCTACCATTTGTTACACTTATTGCATTACTGTTAAATACTCAGATGCTCTCCCCTGGGCTGCAGTGCAATCTAAAGTGGAGACACCTACACTGCACCATCTGTCTTGCCCTGGTAGGTATGAACAGCCTTCAAGCATATTTTACATTTGATCACGTAAGAATTTGGTTGTGGCTGCCCATCAAAACTGAGTAATAATAAGTAGTGACTTTAAAAAAAAAAAAAAAGAAAAACAGTCATTTATAGAACAAAAAACTAGTCTCTTAAATGTCATTCTTCTAAATTTGAAGTAATTTTCATGATGATCTTATGACAAGAGTAATAGACTGCTGGTATCTGTGCTATTATTTCTTGCTTTTGGCACAGCAAGTCGTCTCCACCTTCTTGGTGTCTCGCCTTTTCTGAGTTTTCCCAGCTTCCTTCTTCCTTTCTGCATGTTCCTTTCCTTGTGGTGTCTGGCTTTTTCATCATATTTTCTTTGAAGCTTATGACCAAGGTCGTTATGTTCTCCTCACTTAACCTCCTCCCAAAGCAACTTTCCCCGAACTTGTTCTGTCTTTTATAATCACCACATTCATGACAGCCTGTTACCAAGAGAGTAACTCTGGCTACAGTTGAGTTACCATGTCCTGAACAGATAGTAATCTTTTTAATGGCTTATTTTTCAAGTTTGCGGGGTGTCATGCTATTTGTAGGCAAGATGAAACAGACAGAGGTTGTTTTTCAGGCAGACGTAGCGACTGAAAACACTTGTGAAGAACAGGGTGTCAAGCATATCTTGAAATGTCAATATCTTGGTCCAAAATTGTCTGTATTTTTTGCTTTACCGTATCTCTTGCTATTTTTTTGGCTCCATGTAAAATGCCATCTTGAGGACTGCAGCGTGCAAAGGTCATATAATTTCCACTGAACAGAATGGTACAGGCCCACTATCCAAGAAATATTTATTGATTTCCGTTCTGCTGTTTGTTAACGGGGTACCTATGTGTCTTGCACCTGTGACATCCAGACTACTTGCACTGCATGCACAGTTCCCAGGCAGTCAGTCAAAAAGCAAATGCCTAAAAAGACTCATAAAAAAAGAGTACAGTGGAAAATGCAGGAGGGGCAAAGCCCGTCCTCACCTGCTATTGTAAGAGACTTTCAGCTGTGGTAAGGGAAGGCTTAGAAGCTGAAGACCCCAGACTGCCTTCTCATGCGGCCCTGGGGCTGAAGGTCCAACAGTGCAACCCTGTGTATGAGAAAAGGATATCCATGTATCTAGGCATCTGGGAGACAGGATAAATCACTGTATGGAAGAAGGCGGCACTTGCTGAAGCATGCTACTGTTTCAGTAAATACCTGCTACTCGTGTCTTGAAACATGAAAAGGAGGAAAGAAAACAGGGTTGAAATTTGAAGAACAGCTGTGTATGCAAATATTTTCAGATGAGATGCGGAGGTGGGCAGATAGTTTTGCTTTTTAAGAAAGGAAGCTTTCAAAATATCTTTTAATAAATGACCTGCTTTTCAAGTATATTAATCTTTTATGAAGTCTGTCTTGCTATTTTGAACTGTAAAAGCTTTGCTACTCTGAGCACACAGCATTTAGAAATGTACAGGCAGTGATTTGGAGTGACTTAAATACTAGATAGGAGGGTGCTTTGCTGAATATAAACTTAATTTTACTAAAATTTTGTGCAATAGTGTTTTTTTCTGTATTTTAAATTGATTGTGAGAAGCAATAGAAAATCAACATAGTCTTATTTATTAATTTTGGCCTACAAATAAGACGGAGAAGAACAGGTTAATGCGTCTGCATGAAAACTGTAGTATTAGGTTTTGGCAAAGGCTTGATTTTCTTCATCCCTGTTTTGCTTACCTCGGAGCATATCAGCTTACACGTATCTGGCACAGAACTCACTCATCCCATCTGAAAATGCCTTCTGCAAGCTTATGGTTTTGTGTCCATCTGGTGCATTTTCTGCAGGAAAGATATTGAGGTGCTGGAGCATGTCCAGAGAAGGGCAACGAATCTGGTAAAGGATCTGGAGCACAAGTCTGATGAGGAGCAGCTGAGGGAGCTGGGATTGCTTACCCTGGAGAAAAGGAGGCTCAGGTGGTACCTGATGACTCTCTACAATCACCTGAAAGGATGTTGTAGCAAGGTGGGGGTCAGTCTCTTCTCCCAAGTAGCAAGTGACAGGACAAGGGGAAAGAGCCTCAAGTTGTGCTGGGAAAGGTTTAGAGTGGATAGTAGGAAAATCTTCACCAAAAAAGGTTGTGAAGCATTGGAACAGGCTGCTGAGGGATTTGGCAGTCACCATCCCTGGAGATGTTTAAAAGATTTGTAGATGTGGCACTCAGGGACATGGTTTGTGTTCACATGTGGAGAATTTGGCAGTGAAATTACAGGTTTGGGGTTTTCTCATCCCAAATTCTGTACAGTCAAACAGAGCCAAAGAAGCTAATAAAATGTGCGTATGTGTTCATATATAGCTATATAAATGCAAATAGAATAGGGCTGGTAGCAATAGGACAAGGCATAATGTTTTTAATCTGAAAGAAGGTAGAGTCAGATTGGATATTTGGAAGAAATGTTTTACACTGAGGGTAGTGAGGCACTGGCACATTGCCCAGAGGTGGTAGAGGCCCCATCCCTGGAAACATCCAAGGTCAGGTTGGATGATGCTCTGAGCAACTTCACTGAGTTGAAGATGTCCCTGCTCATTGCAGGGGGATTGAACTAGATGGCCTTTCAAGGCCTCTTCTAACCAAACCAATTATGATTCTAGGTTTTCCCCACAGTGATGTAAGGAAACATTAAAACATGCTTGGATGCTTTCATCTGGGAAGACCATGACAAAACTCCAATAATCTGCCCAGATTTTTTGAATGCCCAAATTCTGGGCCCATTGACGTCAATGGGAATTTTACTACTGATCTTTAGTGGGACAGGCAGCGTCTCACTCACTGTGAGAACTTAATAGTTTGGCCTATGGGTTTTTGGGAATGGGTTTTTTCTCTGTATTGTAAATATCACGCACTAGTTTTCTACCACTTCCTCACCTATTATTCTGTCTACTCAAGCAGTACAAGGGGGAAAATCTCTCCAGATACTGCAAGTAGGAGCCATAGGAGCAGTGAAACTTTGCACAGATGAGGCAAAGAGGAGGTTTGAAGAACAAACCACTAGTACTGGTGCGAGGAGGTCAGGACCTACCTCTCCAGTACATGGTGTGTCTCTACACATAGTTAGCACGTTGTTATTTGTTTTCTGAATTTTTACTGAACAGCTAATGACCAGATTATGGGAAACCTGGGAACTAACGAGCCATCAGGAATATTTATATCAGGCGTCAGGGATGCCCCTTTCACTCATCTCTAACCACCAATGAGGTGTTTCAGGAGCAGTGTATGACTAGTGCTATTTTAAAACAAATTTGCCTTACCCCAAACCACATTTAAGTAATAAATGGCAAAGTTATCAGCTTGATATCAAAATATCTTTATGGGAGGTTTTTTATTTGAGAGATAATTTCTGAAATGTTTGGGACAAACCCTGCTCCTTAGAGGTCACTGTTGAAAGGTGTGCACTTCTCCTGTGGCTGTCCTACTTCCAGCTCTGCTACGGAAGAGAGAGCAAGCGGAGCTTTTCAGGGCCCTGTTCTGGCAATTCCCCCACCATGTGCAGGACATTCCTCTGCTGTCAGGGCTCAGAAACATGTATGGTTTAATACCCAAAGGCAGCTGTGGTGTGGAATTGAGGATTTTTCTAATGGATTCATTCCCACATGAGTACCACACAGAACTGATGCTCAGGGTCACACTGGGTTTTCAGCAGGCTGCTGAGTGAACAGATATGTAACACCATGAAATTGTGGAATGCATTGAAAACGTATGGAAGGGGGTTTCCTGACCACATTTCACTGAGTAAAAAAGGGTATTTCACATGGTTGAAGAAATCATGGCAGAGCACTCAGATTCAGTAGATACTGGGCAAAAGTCAGCAGTATGATGGGCTTACTGAAGGACAGAGCCAATGTGACTTAAGGAGCAATGAAGTCTTGCAGCTGCATTAGCCCAGTCTGGGATGCAGCACAACATGCCAGGCATGGGGAGGGCTGGGTGCACTGGAAGGACGGATTAGCTCTACAAAGCCATGCCACCAGCCAGGTTTAGGCAATTAATTATATTTTAATACAATACTTTTAAGAATAATGTATAGCCTCATATTAATGCACAGTAAACCTAATCCGTTGGCTTTATGTGTTTGTGAATGGTGGTGGTTTGTTTTATTTTTTTCAGTATTAAGTTAGAGAAGTAGTTCAACATGAGCACCTGGCAGCTATTGACACCCACCACCTTTTTCTCACTTGCCAGATGAGACCAAGTCATGTAGATAATAAAATGAGGTTGTTAGTAGGTTATGCATAGCTGAGTTATGAAGAAGATTCAGAAAAATATCATTAAAAATAAAACATACAGAAGCTTTTCCAGCTTTGATGCTGACTATTGCACACATGTCTTTCCCAACAGCTACAAGTAAGTTGTTAGGCTCCAAAAATATTTTTAGACTTGATGTTTTTAAAACCATTAAACAACAAAGCAGAAGAGAGAGCATAAATTTTTAGAGCAGAATTTTTGTTAGTGTATCCTGATCATGTCCTGGTTTGTGGCGGGGGACAGTGAGGGGAGAGAGGGCTGTTTTAGCAGATGGACAGCAGGGAGAATAGAAGGGAGAGCAGAAATGTGACCTGAAAACAACATTACCTGTGGCAGTCTGACCATGAGGCCTTCCTCAGGAGCAGTCTGCAGGAGCAGAGCTTGTTGCCGTGTTTAAATGCCAAGCATTTCAGAGCAGGGATGTGGAACAGTTTCACCGCCCAGTGCTCCCGAAGGACCTGACTGACCGTGGCCACTGGTGCCGGCTTTTTAGTTTTTATTACTGCTCCCACGATACATCCCTACAGACTCATTTGTAATGCTTCTCTCATTCCCCTAAGTGGGGAATACCAAGATAAGAATACTGGAGGTCTTTGTACTCTCAGCATTGGAACATAGCAGAGATGAGAGTGATATGAAAGGTCCAGGAGTCCAGGAAACTTTCCTCAGAAACTACCTACCCCCCTTGGGGGAAGCACTGATGTGCGGTAGTGGAGGTGGGAACTGCATCCTTTAAATTCCTTTTGGAAAGGAATTACGAATGTCTTTGAACAAGATGCTAATGCCA